TGTGGACTTAAGTGACTGCATGGACAGTGGATAGCACACTTGCTTCCTGTAGTGCTTTGGTAGTTTCTTCAGTATGTGTCAGAGATTTGAGGGACGAGGTGAATGAAGAAGGGGAGTAAATTCCCCAGTGTTGGGGTGGCGATTGGTGAAGATATAACAAAACCAACAATGAATGTAAACATCCTAATTAATAAAAGAAGTGTTTGAGCATTTGTGACTTTCTGCATGGCGACGAACACATTGCTATGCTGCATGGCGACAAAGAAAGCCTTCAGTGTGAACTTAGTGGCAGTGCTAGGGGCCAATTATGATGAGACATAATTAAGGAATGCATCCTCTACACACAAGATCCATCCCCTTTTGTAGGATCTCTTGCTTTTTATGACACTTCTCTGCCAGTGTTTGGTCTGTATATGGGGTGGATGCAGAGCCTTTTCCTGAGCTTTGATTAATATCAGTAAACAGACCTGAGCAAATATAAGATATCTACAGTCACTGAGAAGTCTGAGAGGTATGTTCACACGCCAGGAAAGATACAAGTCTGATAGATCCCGCTCTCTGCTCCAGTGCTGGTATAACAGCTGATGCCATATTCACATAGATGAGTACATTTAACTGACAAAGAAGAAGAAATATAGTAACAGACACGATTAAAAAAACAATCAATATCCTTATAGTATAATGTCAGAATCTACAAGCTGTACATAAATGCATAAAGAGCAGTGAAGGTGAGCACAAATGCTTGTAAAAAGAAAAATGGAAAAAAGAAAAAGGGAATATAAAAGGACTGGATGAAAATAATGGAAAAGGCTTGAGGCTTTTGTTTAACAATATGAAACCATACCACATATACTCTTCTTTTTTCTGTTGTTACCAGGATACCTGCATGAGTGACCTGACAGGATCCCCATTTTTGTTATGCATGACAAACAGAAATGTCAAACCCACCTCGAATGAAAGAAACACTTTTTTTTTTTTTAGTCATTTAATTTACATAAAATTAAATCAATGTAAGGATTGCTTAATTTATCCATCACTGATATCCAAAGCTGAAACCAAACCAACACGTAAGTTAAATTTTAACTTTATTTCTCACTGACATGTCACCATCTCCTGTTAACAATGATCCCAGACAATGCTTACAGCCCCTTTCAGTCAGAAAAGCTTGCAACGTTTTAATTAAAAATGCATCGGAGGCTGGTCTCATTCACACTGCTCTCCATGTAAGTCTCCAGATTGGCAGCATGCTGGTTTTTCATATATAAAAACCAGGGACTGGCTGGCGTTGCTTAGCAACACAAAAGAGTCAAGTGCATTTGTTTATTGGCCAATAAGAATGCAGACAAAGTTTCAAGGTTTTAGAGGAAGGCCCTGTAATAATGTAACTCACAAAAAAAAATAGAGCCGAGGATTCTCTAATAACAACCTTTGTATGTTTGAGTGAGGGTATAAATAGTGTTATGCATAAAAAAAGTCTCATAAACAGACCTCAGCCTGTAAAAAGGTGGCTGATTCACTGTTGGTTTTAGGTCCATACAGAACATACAAATTATCACTTATTTCTGGTGTGAAAGAGCCTCTATAAATTCAACACCTAAAGAGCACTGAATTTGACGATTTTTTCTGGCTGTGTCCCTTGTTCTGTTCACAAAGAAGGGGAACAAAACATGCCCCCTGTTACATGTCCAGCTTTGTTGGCCCCCAAACACTCCTGCCACCCACAGGACTGGGACAGAATCACACATCAGAGCCCTAACCAGACAAATATGGTCCTTTATTTGTCCCGAATTGAGAATTAAAGCTACTCTGACCTTGTGAGAAGAGACGCATTCATAGTCAAAGATACTTGAGTTTATAAGCAGTATGTCTGAACAATAAAGGCTGTTGCCAAGAGTCCAGGCAGATGGTTTACACGAAAAGAAAGAAAATGGTAGAAAATAGTGATGGATGTGTAAAAGGAAGTGCACAACAGGTGACAAACTGCATCAGACACATTGTCAAGAGCACAGACCTTGTGTAATGCATGTACTCCCTCCTCGTTGTTAGTACTATCTGGGCACCCAGCCTGGCATGATGGTATGCCAACTGTTCCCCCGCCGTCTGTACTGGCACCCGTCAGCAGCACCCTGGCACCTCGGAGGGACTCTGGGGGAGGGAGAGGCCGTCAGCAGTCAGCATGTGGCTACATGTGTGGACAGGAGGAAGAGCAGGAATGAGGAGAGAACACGTCTGCTCGTCATCAAAGCCGGGCTGACATTTGATGAACAGGAACAGATCAATCCTGTTTTCAGACATAAGCTCCACCTCATGGCAGATTGTGTTTGGCATTAAATAATTATAAATATCTAAGCAGGGTCATCTCTAATGTCACTTTGTTGATGATAAATGGTTTACAGTACTGTATGGGAAATAGTGGCTGCTGCCTGCAGCTTTAATAGCCCACTTTATGGAGCACAAGTCAGAATTATAAAGTAATCAATAAGGATTATGATAACGTTTAGATTATAGCAGAGTGTCTTCTGCTGTATAAATAGATGTTTATATGATTCTGAAATGATCTACTGTGTAAGTTAATAGTTTCTGTTCCACTGATTTCATTGGCCTTTAAATACAGAAGCTAATCAGGAATCTGATTAAAATTGGCTACAAAAAAAAGTGAAGCAGCAGAACTAGAGGGAAAATATTGAGTCATGCTTTATCCTGTGAGTTACTTTACTAACCCTAACCCTTTTTTTATTTTTATTTGGTGTAACACCCTATTGTTAGTCCTTTTAGACCCACAAAAGGGTAATTCCAGAGATTTACATGGCACATAATGGGCACAAAGGGCCCTGTTCCCCAGTTCTAGGACTAGGGGTTAGGGAATTTAGGACCATGTGAACAAAGTTTTGATCCAGATGACAACATCAGTTGGTTAGTCCACCATGTGGAGTCCAGGCTGAATATCTCAACAACTATTAAATTGATTGCCATTAAATTTTAATTAAACGTTCATGCCCTGCAGAAAAATTAACATTCGCCACATTTGAGTGAAATGTGTAAACGACTATTGAATGGATAGAATAAAACTTGTTACAGAGATGAATATTTCCCTGAGGATGAATTTAATTACTCTGATAATCCTGTGACTTTTAATCTAGGGCCTGTGAGCCACCATCGGATCCAAATTTTAACTGGTCCACCACTTCAGTTTATGACAAAATACCCCAGCTGTACTTTGTCTTTACAGCTAATTACAAAAACATTAGCATGCTAACTTGCTAAACTAAGATGGTGAACATGGCAAACATTATGATTGCTGAACAGCAGCATGTTAGCATTGTCATTTAGAGCAAGTTAGCATGCTAATGTTAGCGTTTAGCGTCACTGTCAAAGTACAGCCTGAGCTGCTAGCATGGTTGTAGACCTCTAGTCTTGTTAAAGTATGACAGACATCACTGATTAACTTTTTTTTATTAATGTCCACTAGCCTTCTTTAGACTAATATTATCTGGGTTATTGTGTTGCTGTCAGTGTTAAATAAGCTATATGAGCTGAGGACTGAGTTTCTGACTTGGTCACAGCAATGCATCCACCACAATGAAAAGTAGAAAACTAAAACACCTCTGACACCTGAAACATCTCCACATGTCTACATGCAGCACAGTCCTTCCTGTAGTCCAGGGCTGGCAACCTGCAGCGTCAGAGCTACATGTGGCTCTTCAGCCCCTCTGCAGTGGCTTCCTGTAGGTTTGATATAAAAAAAAATATGGAGAAATGGGGAATAACAGTTTTTTTGTCATTCGTCATTGTTATGGCCTAAAGTGATTCTTACATTCTCCACAAAAATGTGTAGGCATCACACACCAAATAAGAAAAAAGAATGTAACATTTCATCATTAAACTGTGGGTCATATGTCCTGTCCAGGCGCCATTTCCTCTGTATTTTGCTGAACCTCAACAGCGGTGGCTACTAGTCTGGAGTCTTCCTAACTAGGCTAGCTATAAATTCTAAATCCAAGAAAACAAAAGTCTTGGAGGAAAACAGAATTTAATAGTGAACTGATTTGTTTTAAAAGGCTCAAATATATTTTGCGGCTGTTTTGATAGTAAAGTTCCTGACCCCTGCTCTAATCTAATCTGTCTCTACTGTTTCTTGTTTTGCAGGTGTAAACATCAACCTGCACTGCATGCTGGAACTACGCATGTGTCAAGATCTGATCACCTCTTGCAAATAATTGTCGATTTTATATATTGTATTTATATATATATGCATGGAGCCGATTGAGTTATTTCTCAGCAATTAAAGGTGCTTTTACTTTCAAAAACACACCTGAGCTATTAGCCACCTTTTTCGCACAATGACCACAGTAGGTTGTTAAATGTTTCATACGGTCCTCTGTCCCATAATGTTATGTGTAATGTGATGTGTATATTGTTCATAACATGACAGAGTGTTTTGGGATGATGGGGACGGCATATAATTAATTTCAAAAATATATACTTTATTTAATGTGTAGAGTTACTTGACCTAACGCATTTAAAAGAGGAAGACGAGTGCTTTTATAAAAAAATATCTTCAAATTCATGACACGTAGAGTATCTGAGTCCATGTGTGTTCACTGTATTCAGAGAGGTCAAGGAGAGACGCTCATATAATTGTATAAAAGTGGGATTTCACATTCTGTTACATTTTCAATACAACCATTGGACCTGAATTTAATTCTACATTCTATATCAGCAATATATAAAGACATAAAACTGGAGGTCATGAGTTCAGAACCTTGGATAATGAATTACAGCTTCAAGTGTTAGTCAAACACAAGGACATCATGCCATTATTTCCTTTTCAGTATACTATGCAAACTAATTCTTTATATTATAGAGTTGCTCATGGGCCTAATCAGGTAAAATCGTGTTAACTGTTTGATTACATGTGTGTATTGTACCTTTTACGACCATAATGAAACAAAATATCCACTGCAACACAAACAGCATTTCACAATAACTGGACGAGAAAATCATTTTCAAGCAGCTTTTTTTTTACGTTCATAAAAATGTCTCAGATTATATTTACAGAACAAAACATATTTAGGGTCACAATGAACAATATTTCAAGGCCTAAATATATGATATCACATCATTCATTTTTGGCAAATAATAATAAGTCCAAAAAACTAAACAATGTTGGTGGCCAATTTGAACTACATAAATAGTGTGTAGCACAAACACTGTTGAAACAACTCGACATCAACATCCGTCTTTTTCATATATTATTATAATGTAGAAAACTTGCAGTTTACATGATTAAAACAAAACGGAAATATGATACATGACTTTTTTTTTTTTTTTTTTAGAATAATCTGTGTTTTTCTTTTTTTTAATCCATGTTGTGAGACAGTCAGGTCTCGTCGATGCCTATACACTTCAACTGAAATGGAGTTCACTGTGATGGTAAAATAAGCACACTGGTCAAATGAATATTACTTCTATATTCAACGAACTAAGGCTTACCCAGTGACACATGAAAGCACAGCAGACATGTTTTGTCAAAATGTTACCAGCAGCACAGCCAGATATTCCAGATGAAATAAATAGCACAGGCATATAAAAGTGAAATGAAATACGAGTAAAACACAGAGGTATAGGTAAGAAAGCTGAACTCTTTTAGTTTGATGTGTTGCTTACAAAAAGTATGAATTTGGAGTTTGAAAGTTGCACTTTACAAGTGTGATTCAACCAAAACAAACGTCTAGGCTCCATTTCACCTGCTGGGCTATACAACCGGTCTCAGACCTGCTTTATTTACACTGAAAACAACCTTATAGTCATATATTAAAGTCAAATTAAAATTGGGGAATCAAAAACCAACGTGTCTTGTAATGCGAGAATGAAAGAAGCCTCTGGAGGCCAAAAAAATTAAAAGAAAAGACCAGGGCTTTTGATCTTCGGCACGTCGCCTCCCACTGGAGGAAAACTGAAACACTTTAACAGGTAACGACAGGTCGGGTCAGAGGTGAGCCTTCAGCTGGAGATGAAACCGGACAGTCAGTACTAGGTGGTCTTCACCAGATCGTAGACGTGGATGTGGACATCATCGTCATATTTGATGTAGTACACGGTGGGCTTAGCTGGGACCTGGTAGATGACCAAGCCTGTCCTCTTTAGACCGTTATCTGTGACGTACTCCACCTGTTTACCCACAAGGCTCTCTGGCTCCTCACCTGGCTTCCTGTCTGCTGGCAGCAGATGTTTGTTTTCTGGAAGACGGACAGATAAACAACAGCCAAAATAAGACCAATGTAACAGAAGCGTGCGCAATTTCTTCTTCTATCATTTTTAAGCAGCCAAAGTTTAAACATTTGCAAAACAATTTCAAGGTTAAGCCAGTAAATTATCTACAATTTGAAGCTGAACCTTAACCCCTACCAGACAAGTTTATTTATTCCCCTCTGCTCTTTTACTATTGAATGAAGCAGAAAACCTGAACAAAATGTTCTGTAAAAAAGGGAGCATAGAAATTTGTTTTTGTAATGTTGTTCTGTTCTTATTCTCCCACCTTATGAGTATGTGAAATATGAAACGCTGATGGTTTTATGCACATAAACAATAAAGCTCTGGTTACCGTACCCGATTCGGGCAGGACACGTAGATCTCCGTCTTTATAGTCGTCCCACAGTTGGTACATGTACAGCACCGGGTCCTTCTCGTACGTGATGTAATACCAGTGGGTCATGATGGGGGCTCGGGACAGCACCATGCCTCGCCACTCATTTTTCTCACCGTCCTCCTTCTCAAACAGATGCTCCACAGCTCGGCCCACCAGCTCCTCCGCCCCGGGAGGCACCTTGATCTTATTGTTCACTGCAGGAAGAAGACATTTTTGAGAAGCACGTTAACTGGAAAACGTTATAGATCCCAAATGACACATTATATAAGGAGATTAAAATATTATATTATCTTACAGTGCTGACAAAGCACCAATAAAATATACAAAAACACAACCTTGACAGGCTATCAGTTTTGCTTAATATCAGCTTTATAATAGCTCCCTGAAGTATGTATTTAGTTGACCAGAATAAAAAAGATTGACTGATGTACTGGATATAATTAATCAGCATCGATTGGACTGAAGTGGGTCATTTCAAGTGATAAACCATCACATTCTTACTTACTTCCTCATGCGCTTCAACATCGTAAATGCAAATTTAATTTAAAATAAGTTCTGCATTTCCTGTCATATTTTGTTTCAATATCAACATTCATGCACGTACTATACACATACAACCATGATTAGTTACAAGTTAAAGTGAGTTTGCAAGAACTGAATGGTTCAAAAACACCACAAACAGGAACTGTTAGCAAGAGAAGTGTGAACCAGGAGTACCACTAAATTAGCTCTGGTTCTTCATGTAGGATTCAACAACAGTCAATAACTCAGAATCTTCTTATTAGGGATAAACCTGCCTCGTGCGTGAACTGTTCGTAGTTGAATACGCTACTGTATTTTAACATTAGTCATAATGGTGGTACTTGGAGAGCCTGATATTTTCTGTCAGCCACAACAGACATATTAGTATTAGAATAAACAAAAGAAGAACTGGGGAGTTAGCCCTAACAACAATAGTCCCCACATGAGAAGAACATTAAGAGAAAAACACCAACAATAGTGCTATTTGATTGCAAAGTGATCCCTGAGGGACAGAGAAACACACAACATAAAAGTGTGATCAAAGCAGTCACTAAAATAAAAAAGCTAAAAGATACAACGTCTTAATACATTACTGTTTACAAAATGCAGAAAGCAAAGCAAATGTCCACAATTAAAGAGAGATGTTGTCGCACTCACCGACTTTCTCTGCCAAAACCTGCAGGTTGGACACCCGGCTATCTTTGAAGAGCTCGATGCCGTACACGCAATCAAAGCCGTCATATTTGACCATGTAGAGGGAGCTGTTCACAGTTAGACGCTCCAGAACGGTGCCTTTCCACTTGGTCACGTTGCCCTTCTCCCTCCAGGTGTGCTGAATCCTGCGACCCAGCAGGTTGTCAGGGTCTGGGCTCAGGGTCGACGCCGAGCTCTCACTCAGCTCTCCACTGCTACGCTTCCTGTGAGCATGGAGTGAATAGGATCCATATTAGTATGAGCTATAGATCTAAAGTTGGATTAACTTGTTGAGGTACTTTATGAGCTACTCAATCCATATTAGTGTCTGGTTATTTGGTTTGACTGAGGAGGAGACATAAAATGAACTGGTACTGTGCCTTTAGCAAACATCCAGGGTGCCACATTTGTACAGTTGCTACAAACAGTGAGGACTCTATTCTACGGAAATGTTACATATGCACACAAGGGAGCGAGCCTGTCTGAGCCTGTATTAATATCCACAAGTGTCATGCTATCAGGGGAAAGGTGCCTCCACCTTAACGTGTTACAGCTTAACCAATTTATGTCATGTTTAGTCATCTTCCCACTGATTACTGCCTCTAAATATGCCCTTACTGAGACAAACAAACTCAATAAACACTCGCTGTAAAGAGTTATCTGAGCCAACAGTACTGTACAATAACTACTTTAGCTTATCAATAGTGTCAGTACTGTTTCTGATGTGCCTTTTATCATTACAAACACAGCCCTATCACACACAACATAATGTTTAATTATCATTCAAGTACAGAGGAACATTTGCCAGACTGAATTACAAACAACAGATCACAAAATAAAGAGACGGGTTACAAAAACTCATTCAACGTAACCTCATCAGTCTGAATTTGAATCAGCTTTAGTGAAGAGCTGAAAAGTAAATAATAAAACATATGTCAAACAGTTTTGGAATAATATGTAATTTAGGTTTAAAGCCACTAAACTGAGGTTGAACTCGAGGGGAACGCTATAAACACTGGGATTAAAGTTGTTATGACGGAAGTTATTAGGAGTATTTCCTGCATCCATTCGAGGTGCACAGTGAAGTATACTAGTCAGAAGAGTTGTGAACCTACCTGCCCCGTTTCTTTGACATGTTTCCATAAATTCACACAACCCTGTGAGACACAACACAATCCAGTTAGTGACAGGACCAGCTGACACTTTAATTCAGGTTACATAAAATGACATTTTATTCAGCAGTTAATGTGCAGCAGACAGACTCTAGTTACTCAGCAGATCTGCCTGAACTCAAACACTGCCATGCAAATTAGCCAACAGACCTGCATTACCGGATGTAAACAACATTACTGCGACAAGCCTAATGCTAATGCTAAGTGACGTAGCTCAATGCTAATAAAACCTACAGGTTATATATATATTTGTACAGCTAACCATATGGCGGATAAATGTATAACTTCACCGACACTAGCTACAATAAATGCCGACGTGTCGAGTGTGGTTGTGTAGCTGCAGTGAGTCTAAAATAGGAACCCGATATGGAGCCAGTCTTAATGAACCCTTTCACTCACTGTTAGTTTCAAATGAGTTCAACATTTCTGAGGACTGTGCCTTCTGTATTTCTACACATAAGCTAGCTGAACAAAAGGAAATGCATCGCCATGTAAGCGCTGATTTTGCACACTGGTTGTAGCTTCTGCATTAACGGGCACAAAAAATAAAACTAAACAAAAAAAGGACTAACCATGAGAAATGAATGGACATTTTTAATGCGATCGACAAGCTCAAAAGGCGGGAGCCGACAGAATAAACTGTTTGCCCTACCTGATCAATAATTTCACATGTGTTTGTCTTTGCGGAGCAGATTCCACCACCTAACGTCGGCTAGATACACGGAAACGACGTTTGACGGACTACAACTACCAGAAGGAACTCGCTGCGCGCAAAGCATTCTGGGATTTGAAGTCGGTGTTCTGTATTTGCTTTTGAATGAGTGCAAGCGCTGGTAACTCTAGAGGGAGGTGTACTCACCTTGACACTGTCCGGTGTTTTATTTATTCCAGTCCAGGTGGATGTTCATATTATCAACATTTTGCTCTTTTTAAAAAATATTTAGGATAAAGTGAAGCTAAGAAAGTCCCAAAACTACATATCCCACAATTCACCTCAGATTAAATCCACATTTTTCCCTCCTGCTGCACATTTCCAAGTAATTTTTTCCCTCAACACCTCCCTGACACTCAGTGGGTAATAATTACGGTCACAGGCAGAGCTAGAGGCATTTAAAAGCAAATTATAGACCTTTTTCACAGCAGCCATTTTGACGTGAAATAGTAGGGTAAACAAGTGTCACCAGTGATATTAAGTAGGGTTCAGTTCCATTCAGGTCAAACAGATTCAGGGGGATGCTATTGTGCAGTGGGAAGGCTCTGCTACACTAAGTGTAATGAAACCTTAATTGGGGTCATTGGTGTCACCTGTGTTTACCCTACTGTTTCATGTCAAAATGGCTGCTGTGAAAAAGGTCTCTTGAAAGCCATTAGGCTAATACCTATACAAAGACCCAAATCATTTCACATATTTGAAAGCACACCATGAAGAGTGCTTTGATCAATCCAGGAAAGGTGGATTTGGAGCTGAAATGCTAATTTCCACCACAAGATGTCGTACTAAACACAAAATCTCTGCCACCATCTCTCTAACAGACTTCAGACGATGGACTGAGCAGTGTGGAGGGTGAATGATGCAGTACCCTTGGGTGCCTGTCTGACAGTTTTTTCAGGGTGAAAGCTTTTGCTTTTATCTTGTGCCACACCACCTGTATGTGTATGACTCACCTGTAATGTGGAGGTGAATAAAAACAGTGCGTAAATCTTAACCTCCTGTTTCGGGGTCTCCACAAAGCAATCAGCAGCGATCATACATATTAATTAATTACTGTGGCCTTTCCTGGAAAACAAACCTCCTGACAATTTTTGTTTAACTTTCATTAATTTGACACGGTCACATTATTCATTCATTCATTCATTCATTCATTCACATATTTATGTTTATTTCTGTCATTTTTGAGTAAAATGCTGGTACTTTGACACACAAAGACCAAGTTACCATCCACAATAAGCATTTTATGTCCAAACAGAAAAAACATCATAAAAATATCAT